TTGCATCCTTATATAAACTTTTCCCAATAATGTTTCCCTTTTCTCTTCCTCGTTTAACATAGATCAACTTGTTTGCTTTCAACTTCAAGAACAGCGGTGGGAATAAGTTAGATTGGACCTGGGTTGCACCCAACTGGTCTAAATTAGACCTCGACCTATTCAAGACCTAGGTAACTTGGACCCAAAATCGACCCACCCAGTTAAGTAAAGGTCTATCATAATTCTCGGGGCCTTATTCCAACTATTTGGACTAACTATATAGATTTTGTTCTGCTATTCTGTTCTACCAAAGGCGATATCCTTAGTCGGATCATAAGTCGCCATATTGTTTTTCATTATTTTTATCCACATCCTTTAAATGGAGGTTAAAAAAATAAAAAATAAGAAATTAATTTATACATATTAAATATTATTTATAGGGAAAGTATACAATAAAACCATTTACCTTTAATACAAGGTGATTACATTAATCTTAATCATTAGATGTGAAATTGACCATTGACCAAATTCAAACTTCAAATTTTTTTTTTTCGAACTTTGCAACACATTTAAGCTATCAAATTCATATCAAATGGTTGTAAGGAGTTGTGACATATCAAAGATAAATGGTCTTGTATACAATCTTTAACTTATATCTATTTTACACTAGTATATGCTGGGTTTGGTCAGGTCTAGGTTAATGCGGTTGAGTCAGGTTGGTTTGACCTGGACATGACCCGACCCCAACCCACAGGATCCAAGTTAAACTCGGACAAATTTTTGCGCAACTTAAGTCTTGTCCGGGTTTGTGTCCAACTTTGCCAACCACGGGGTCCATTGTCTGAGTCCAAATACAGACCTCGTCGGGTCGACTCGAGAGAGAGAGAGACCGCTGCTATTTACGCAAGGGCTCGTCACTTTCGTGGAAACCACCGTAGTCTTCATATATCGCTCTACGTCTCACTGGTACAGACGTTGGCTTCTCTGTCTGAGCCGGCGGTCTCTGATCCCTCCACATCTCGACCCCCATTTCTGGAACATCCTCTCCTTCTCTGATTGATTTCTGAATTGGTGTCCATCTCGCTAAGAAGTATCTGTAATGGCTAATGAACCTAACTCCAGTTCTTCCAACAAACGGTTTCCAAAAGAAATTCGACTTTCAGGCATGAAAAATGAGCCAGAAAAGATTGCAGCTGTATCCAGTTTAGTGGGGAGAATCATCGAGAAAGGCTTCGCGCCTGCAACTCAAAATCCCCATTCGCTTGCTCCTCCCCAACCCACTGTCCTTCCTTTTCCGGTTGCTCGCCACCGCTCTGACGGTCCTGTAAGTGGGTTTCATATTGTTTGTCTCTCTACCCATGATTATCTTACTACCGGGTTTCATATTGTTTGTCTTTCTACCCATGATTCTCTTACCACCCCATAAAATAAAATTCCATTGTTTTATGCGGTGTCCGCGTGTTAATGTTTTTGCAACTATTGTTGTTGTTTGGTGTTTTCTCTCACTACACACAGTTTCATTTTTCTGTCTCGCACTTCCCCACCAATGAAAGTCCCAATTTTTCAGGGGTGTTTTGGCATAATCAATGTTTTATCTACCATTGTTGTAGTTTGATGTTGTTTTTTTTCTACTACCCATTCTTATTTTTCTACCTAAGTCTACTTTCTCTCCTCCAATCCAATAGGCGATAAGATGAGAGAAAGTAGACTTTAGTGGGCTGGTCATTTGTGGCATAGACCGAGTACAAAATGTATTATGAGGTACGAGTTCATTCAAGTGGAGGCTCAATAAGTGCATGAGCGAAGCCCAAAAAGGTACGGTTGGAAGTAGTGAGAAACGATACGGGGGCTTTCTTTACTGACTAGGATTCGTGTAGCCGATTCCAATTAGTTAGAAAGGGGATTTGATGATGATAATAGTTTATCATTTTTTTTTTCTTAGTACTTTCAAAAGAAATTTGCATTTTTAATGCCGTTTCAGCATAGTCTATTGGTGCTTACTATTCAATTTTGTATTGTTTCTATCACAACCTATTGTTCTAATTTTCTTTCTATTCACCTGCAAAGGAAATTCCCATTCTTTTATGCAATTTCATTTTGTTCATGTTAATAACTGTTATTAGCTTTGGGAGTATAATCACTTGTTGTTTGCTGCAATTATTCGTTGTTACCTACTTAAAATTGGATAGCCAATTTTTTCATTAATGTGCTCTTAAGTTTTATGAGAATTATCTGCCATGGAGTTCAAATTGGAAATGGGTTTTTTAAATAGATAAATAAATGTTGCCTGTTCCCTAGAATAACTTGCTTATGTATATACTAGTGGAAATATTTGTTAAAATAGTGACTTATAACTGTGTTGGCTTTGTTAGGTCTAGTCTTCACTCGCTTTAAGTACTGAGAATGGAGATTGCCAAAACCGCCCCATGATTTATTTGAATTAAACATCTATATGTTTCTTGAGTTAAACCGATGAACATGATGTATGGGCCCATTTTACTAGCACATCAATTGGCTGGAAACCAGTTCCT